GCAGCTGATTGAAGTCATCAGACCGTCCTCCCCTCTCATAGAAAAAGTGCAATGTTGCCGGATATGAATCGTTCACCGAGTTCAGCTTCGCGGATTTGGCAGCACTGTCTCCCACGCTCCCAGCAAACTCCAAAACCCACGCAGTCTGAGGCATATGCTCTTTGATGATAACAGCTTAATGCCGTGACTGCAATCCAAATCGTAAGAAACTGATGATTCACGTAGTTCGGAAATGGTGTTGAGACTTGTGACTTCTCCGGTGACCTGTTCGGCCATTTCAGCATGACCCGGCAACGCTGCTGGTAAATCGAGTGAGGCAAACGATAGCCTGTCAAAAAAAGGGAGATAGAGCGACTCAAGTCGGCATGAAGTCGCGATAAGGCGCAATAATTATGCAAAATCATCGCATCTGATCGCAGCGCAAGTGAAAATGATCTTTCATGCCTTTCCCTGATAGGAAAAAAAATTCCTTTCATCTCCACGTGGCTCCAGCGAAACGGGGGATTCAGAAGTGGAAAACATCCTGGAAGGAGGAAACTCCTGGACTCTCGCTCGTTATCGCAGATGGAACTGGGAGGAATTTCCATATTTATGAATGAATAAATATAGCACGGGGATGCGGTAACTAACGTGCACCGAGCGACTGAGGCTTTAATCTTCGGAGGAAATGAAGTGTAAAGTAATGGCCTTGGAATAGATAGATAGGATTTCGATCTTCGTCACAATAAAAATGGTGGGGGGGCAGCGGTTCAAGGACAATAATTGAAGGGCTGAAAGGAAATCTGGCCCTTACGCAAAAAAATTCTGAGGCTGGTGGTTGGTCTAATGTGCAGAAACCGTATTCGTCTTTCAATAAAGATAGTCGTTGCAGGTGAAAAATTGGTCCATCTGCATGTACCACATTTTCTCTCTTTTAAGAAGACCATTCGCTCTATTTTTGGAGCTTGAGAAATGCATTTTTTGCAGATGAACATTCAGCCTTTCAGCTCTTCAATTATACATCAAAGAAACCGCGATAGAGGATTTAAAATGCAGGGTAGCTCAGAGAAAATGTGGTCCGTGGTTTTATGCATCTCATGCACAATATCAACCATTCCAGCATTCCAACAGAAGCAATTGATGCCACGCGTTATACTCCACCTGGAGCCATTGAGAAACAGTGCTACATTTGCCCCTTTTATTTTTTTTTAGAAAGAGATCTGTTTGACCTTCTTGGGCTGCAATATATCATTTAAAAAAAACCAACGGTGGGGTATCCCCCGTGGGAAAAGAAAATCGCCTGGATTCTAGAGCCCCTTTCGAGGCAGAGCTGCACGTGGCTCCCCTCTGATTGAATTCGTGTCCCCTAAGCCAGATGAAGAATGCGACAGGGTCATAGGGAATGTGTGAGACGGGAACCAAGAAAGGCCCGACAATCTTGGTACTCGGGATCTGCAAGGGCGAACCTCTAACTTTTTTTTCTTGGAAAGGTAAAGTTATGGATAAGCGTCTTCCTTTTTTGCTCCTTCAGAATAATTGCGCTTTCTCCTTGTCTCGATGCAGTGAAGAACTTCTGTGATAAAGGCGGCAGACGAGATGGAGTGCGATGTGAATAATGAATGAGCTTCCTGGGAAAAACTGGAAGAGCACTTAGGAGAAGGTAATGAGAAAGGTTCATGCCACTGGATCAACAGCAAGAAAGAAAGGGAGTGGAAAGACCCAAGGCAGTGAGAACAAAGGGCAGAATTCATAAGGTGGAAGCGTTTGTTTTGAGTCAAGAAACGCGACCTGACACGCACGAGAGCCAACATGAAATTGCTAGAGCAACAGGAATTAAGCGAGCATCCGTGCGAAGAATTTCTAAGAGGATATTTGTTCTAAAGATCCGTGGGACAAAACTCGAAGGAGCCCAAAAGCAAAAAAAGTTGACATGCCAAGATCTGTTACAGAGGTTTCCAAGTGACACAGATGTGACTTGTCACAGAAAAGATCTTCACGGTTGAAACACCAGTGAACTGGCAAAATTTTAGGTGGAGTTCACATGTTGAGGGAGCGTGACGTGTAACCAGTTAGGCTGATCCGAGAGCGTGCTCATTTTCGCAAGAAATTAATGGTGTCGGTGGGAGTTTCGCAGCTTGGAAAAACAGAGAATGTTTTTGCTGAGCCTGGGGCAAAGGTGGATTCCAAGGACTAACAAGCATCAATGCCACGCGGTATTTTCCCTGACATTCGCAAGATATCGGGCGGAAACTGTGTTTTTCAGCCAGATGGTGCTCCATCGTACACGTCAAGAGCAACTGTTCCGTTCGTGCATAACGAAGTGCTAGACTTTATTGAGCCTACTGAGCCTACCATGAGGCCACCCTGGTAGCAGTCCTAATGCAAACCCTGTTCACTTTGTGGGTGCAAGAAAAATTCCGAGGCATTCAAGATTTAAATGAGGCAATAGTGGCAAGCCTTTGCCCTCCCGCCCATTGCACTGCGCAACTTGACAGAAGCGCTCTCGATTGCAGACCATCATCGACCAGAATGAACCACATGTCGAATTTCTGCTTTGTAGCAATAAAGAGGGCTATTATTTTTCATTCTAAGCAGCTTTTTTTCTATAGATCCCATAACTTAGCGTTATTGCATCTCAGGGCGAAGGTTTTCATTCTTTGGCCACCCTTTAGTAAACTGAGAAATTACAGGCCTGTACGATGAATAGGCCAGGAAGCTTGGTGATAACTTGCTGCACAATAAATCCAATGTAGGCATGAATCGAATGAGGGGAAAGCTGCTGTCCTACTTAGCAAGCGCAGGCAGTCCGACCAGGGAGGTCAGAGGGAGAAGAGGGAGATTGAAGGTAAACAGGGCGTTATTAGCTGTTGACACGGCAGGGAATTCATCATCAGCTGTGTCGGGGGAGAATCCGAGTGGGTCAAAGAGAGGTGGCGAATGTCCCAAGTTGAATTTCCAAGGTTCATCAAATGCAATGTGTTGAGAGGGAAGGAGGGAAGGAGGGGGGGGGGGGGGGGGAGGGGAATTCCAATGNGGATGGGGGGGGGGGGGGGGGGGGGGGGGGGTGGGGGGGGGGGAGAAGTGAATTCATATGTAAGACTCATGTTTGCTGATGGATGGCATATGCGATCTTTCGCAAATACGAGAGAGATCCCGTGAATGAGAACGCAAATCCTGCTAACACCCCCCCCCCCCCCCCCTCAAAAATGGGAAAGTCTAAGATCAAAACAATGTTTTTGCCTCAAACGTACCCAATTCAGATCACACTCCAGGGATTGCAAAGGGGTACACATTTTTTCCGTACCACCGTTGTAATTTCGATAGTACTTGATGCATGGCACAAAGCAAACTGGGAAGTCCACACCCAAATAGAATAATCAACAGCGTTGAGATCCAGAGCTACAGGAGGCAGCCCAAGTACTGGTGCGAATACCAATGGAAGCGTGAAAAAATCTAAAGGAAAAGAAAAAACTACTTCTCCAGCACTCTTCGGCTGGAGACTCGAGAGACTCCGCCTCTTCTCGTGTCCTTGGGATCGTGAATTTCGACACCATCATGATTCACTTGCCTCGAAGGTCTGGCCAAAGGGGAAATTTGAAAACGGTTCACCTGTTGCGTTGAAGACCGAAGACTCCTTTCCCCAGACACTCTGAACGAGCGCCATCCCCAGACTGAGGATTGAAGGTCCGAAGTATCATCAGAATTGACATCCGTCATCGAAGCCACCAGACACATTATAAGATATTGCTGGGACTGGGAGAGATGCGTCGCCTACAATTCATTCCGACAACCTAGAATTGGGGGGATCTATGGTATATTAAGTGGGATTCATTGTAAGATCTATTACGTCTGTCGACGCTCTCGATGATCGGAAAATACAAAATAGGATATTTTGTGTCATGAACCAGTCAATTTCATAGCATTCATCCGATTGGACTAATTTACGAATCTAGAATACTGAAATGTATGGTTTTCACCATAATATATCCGCCAGTAGATACAATGAAGTGTTTTTTTGCTTGAGTGCAACAGTTTTTCATTTGACTCAAATACCTATACATGAGAAGTGCCATAGATTGGTGGCAAAGCACCTGAAAAAGTTTCTAGAATATAAAGAATTTCAGAAGTTATTTTCATTCAGATAATTGAAACCCTGATTCCATCTCCAGAAATCCCCAAGTCTAGAACGCCTGTGATACCTCGTTGTAAGAATCAGTTCGTTTGTGATTAATCATGGAAAATTGACGAAAGCCATGAGCACGACGCTTTCATCATATTACATTGAGGACTATGAAGAAGCATAATCCATGCAGTCCTGTATGTATTGCACGGTTTGCATGAATAGACATTTCATTTGGTTCTCCAAAGCTTCGACGTTCTAGCAACACTGAGAGCGGCATGGCGACTGTCTGTAGCCATGTGCTTCTCTCGTTGTACCATAAGCAGGGTCTGGTACGAAAGTGCGACGCAGCTACCAAATGCAACGTTAAGCTCTTTCTGCTCCTGTTTGGTACCTGTATTACTTTTTTCTTGGAGGTAATTGGGTCGTAACGTAATATGTCCAGTGTGTGTAACGTACAATACCCGAAATACTTCCGCATGCTGAACCATGACAGCTGAGATTCAAGTCCAAATTGCTGTTGTCATAGGTTGCACTCCTTATTCCGTAGTGATGCAGGAGCACTTGTACCTTACCAATGATAAAGAACCTTAAATTCCCCATTCTATCGGTAGATAATGGAGCCACAGTTATGTGATCAGGATTTGATGCCCAAATTTCCATAAAATGAGTCTTTATGAGTCTATGGAGAACATATAAGTGGAGCAGGGAACATGCATAATTTAGTAAGATTTTATCATTTTTGTAATTTCCTACTGTTATCTTTCTCCTCTTTGAATGTAATAAGAAGCACTTTACAGAACCAAAACCTTATCCACCATACTCTGTGTACCTATGTATTCATGATCCAGTTGCACAAGTTGTTGTATCTTGTAGGCTTCTTTCTAAAAAGCAGGTGGAAGGATGACCTACAGACAACATCAATCAACCCTATCCAAAAATGAAACAGGTCTTTATTTAATTATCCTGTGCACAGTCATTGTTTCTTGCTGAACTTGCTGTGAAGAAGAATGTTCATGGCTTGTCTTTAGATACTCATGGCTTTGTTTGAATTGAGCAGGAAGTATGTACTTTTGGGGATTGATGCTGTCTTCCTGCAGGTCTGCAAGAAGCATAGTTAACTTTCAGGCTAGACAGATAATGGATGTATCTGTTCTGCCAAGTCATATGAGGCCTCTGCAATGGCTTTTGGGGAAATGGGAGGCAAAGAATGGGGAAGGACTTTCCTCAACAGGAGAGCCATTCAAGTACACTGAAAAGGTGGAATTCTCCAACATTGGACAACCTGTCATCAATTACACAGCTACATCCTTTGATGCGGGGAATGGAACTCTGATGCATATGGAGTCAGGATTCATCCGCTGTCATCCTGAAAGTAGAAAGATTGCCTTCACGACAGCACACAAGTTTGGTATGTAGAATCAATGTAAGAAGTTCGCAGGAGGTATTTGTTAAAATAGCGTATTTCAGAGAGTGAGCATCTATTGACCATGAAGCCCTTTCTTTTGGAGGTGATGCTTTTTTCTTTCTTTTTATTTTTTTATCTCTTTGGAAAGTTTATTTTTATTCCCTCTTTTGTGACAAGTTTAATTTCTCAATCCCTTGAATGTTGGCAATTGCTGTTTTTAAGTGAAAGGCATGGTAGTTATGCTTATAGGATTAATTCCTTTTGATTCTCTTGCCTGATGCTGTGGTCCAAAACTCATTATCATTTTGTAAGGAAGTAAAATTCAATTGTCTTATGCCACCAGATCTGCACAATATCCATTTTTATCAGGTGCTGCCATGGTAGAAGAGGGATACATCAATGAAGATGGTAATGAAATAATCCTTGAAAGCCTCCAGATCTCCACCATGTCTTTTGCTGAAGTGCCAACTGTAATGCAGGTGAGATGCTGGTATTGACCATTGTCTCATGTACCTGGGGTCCTCCTCAAAGGGTCCTTTAATTCTGACATGATTTTTCCTTCTCTATTGCAGACAAAGCGGGTGTACAGAAAGAAAAATGATGAAATGGAGTATATCTTCAGCATGGCAACAGCAAAAGCTCCTGAGATCCAGGCGCACCTACATGTCATATACAAGAGATGTGATTGACCTGTGTCTTTACATACTCCTCAGGGAAACACATCACATCTACTAGTCCTCAACAACAATTAGAATTAATATTTGTTGTCTTCCCCGTGTGTGATATTGTTGCCACTATGCTAACTTTTTATTTTGTTTAATGTCTTTATAACTGACTGATAACCTGTGTGACAATTGATCAGGCTCATAAAATGTTATTTTTACAAATGTGCAATGCAAGTGTGCCAAGCTAATCTCAGTGCTAATTTTATCCAATTTTTCTGATGCTGTTTTTGTTGGTTTTTTATGGCTTCTATGGTTATTTTTTAAAAATATTTTAAAAATGACTTCTATGAGCTTTGGTACAAGGTGTACTATATATGTATGTACTGTATATATATATTTTTCTTATCCTTTCTGAGCCAGGGACATGTATATGTCAGAAATTAGTTGCCCTCATTGCAAAGGCAACAGCTCCACTGGAGATTGGCCCATGTGGTGAAGGTCAGGCTTTTTTACTTGTCTTTTGCATGATAGTAGTTGGCATGCTGATGTCTGATTTTAAGGCTACATCTGGACAAATCTTATTCAATCATTCTTTAACTTCTTCCCCTCTTAGAACTGCAATGTAGTCCACACCCCATCTTCCAGAAACAACTTGCTACCCATATCTACAGTATACAACTTATATTTCAGTGTGTGTGTCTGTGTGTGTCCTTTATGCATGGCCATGCCTCTGATGCCTCCTAGTGACCTATTAGTTTTCATTTTTTCCAATGATTAATGTAGCTATCCCAATGTACTGCAAAATTTATTCATTTACTCAGTTTTTCCCACATGCATGTAGAATCACTGACACTTCTTTCATCCAGTCATATGGGAGAAATACTACTCTAAAAAGAAATTGGTAAGACATTAATGCTCAAGATGAATGGGACAGACATGAAGAGGGAAATGACTGTAAAGAGTGAGGAAAAGGCTCAAGGAGGAAGGCAATCCTATTACCTGCTTTCCAGGAAAGGGGTGATTTGATTTTTTTTTTCCTGTCTCTCTAGGGGTGTAGGGAAGTGGGGATGCTAGAAAGGCACATGGAGCAGTATTTACTGTTGTTTGCACTCCCTTCATGCTCTTGTTGTTTCTGATTTCCTTGAGTTCATGATGATATTATAGTAATGACATCTCTCATTGTTAAATTTTGCCCACTTTGCAAAATGGGAAAATTAGACCATGTGGGAATAGCTATACCAACTCTCAATAGTCTGGATTTACAGACTCTGGTGACTTAGTCTGAGTTATTGAAAGCCTGACCACTCATTTTTCTGGCAAAGAAGATGCACTCCCAGTGTCCTGCAGAATGCATTCTTTTTCTTCTGCAAGCAAATAAGTCACTGATTCAATTCTTACAACTGGTCATTAAGAAGAATCCCCACCATTTTCTATGCTCTGTTTCATTCAATGGAACTTCTCTTTGGGCATGCCAATAATTCTTACATTTGGCAGAAAGGATTTAAAAAAACTTGTCAAGACTCAGATGATACAAATGAATGGAGGGAGGCTGCTGCAAAGAGAATGATAATGAGGAGAGCAATCCCCAATTCCAGGAAAGGGGGGACTTTTTGTAGGAGGTAGTTTTTTCCTGTCTCTTTTCTAATTCCTGGAGGTGAGGGCAAGTGGGGATTTAGGAAGTGGACCAGGAAACCTTTTTGTCTGTTGTGTGTACCATCTCTTATGCTAGCAAGTCTGGATTAGTGTCAATAATGGTCCAGGGGACGCACTCATCCAATATAAGCGGGAACTATGGAATAATGTCTAGTGACTTAAGCTGAGAATTTTGATATAGGGTCTATGGAGTTCCTTTCAGAACCTTTCCTCTTGTCTGCATTAATGGGACTACTGGATTACTGGCATTTGGATAAATGACAGTTACCTTGGGATTCTTAGGATTTTTGGAGTGAAAATTATTACACCAAGACATCACTGCTTTAGTGCTGAGATGAGCTATGATTACTTTTTTTTGCTACAAAGATGTGGCTTATTACTGGCCGTCCCTTATGATCAATATTTTGGTCATAAGGTCAATTTGGTGATTTCACACATTGGTTCCTAACTTTTTCATGAGAAAATCTTAGCCAATTTGGTAAAGAAATATATGGCTGTTCTTCAGTGGTGTATTTTGGCTGAAGGGTCAAGGAGGGCAGAGAAACTGAGCGGGGTGCCAAACCCCACCTGAGCGATATCAGGGAAGAAAATTATTACCTCCAAGGGGGCAGCTGCCCCCTACCCTCCCTGTGAAATACACCACTGGTTGTACTTGATGTAGCCACTTAGTGATTCAAAGAAGTTCCTGTCTAATGCATCTAAGGAACCCTGTCCTGTAAATGGGATAATTGCAAGTTGATAAAATGGTTCTTCATTGTGGTGGAAAAATATGCACGAGGTGCATTACATTCTATTTTATCCACATGCCTTCAGCCATAGCTGAAAAAGAGCTATTCTCAGTCAGTCATTTAATTTTTTTTTTAACTTGCAAGAGCCCCATTTGCTTGCTCTAGGGAGAATAAGTCAAGGAGGATAAGATTAACCTTTTTCATCTTTTTCAGTGCCTCACTAAATTATGTACTTATTTATGAAATAGTAATATTCATTCTCAGGCATGCTTATTCATATGCTGATGCTTACTTCAGCTTGAACCTTCCACATATGGTTTGTGGTTTTTTTTTTTTGCTTGACTTGATGATTGTAGATGTTTTCTTACTTTTTCCCACGTTGCAGGTGCTTACCCTATGTCGTACTTAAAAATACTTCTGACTGGCATGCCTTGTGCTCTCATTTGATTCACTTGACCACTGGATCTCCCATTTGTTATCCTTAGTTTTAATGGAATTGCAGACAACAATTCCTGTTTCCTTACATTGTGATACTTGTGATACACTGTGATTATGCTTCTTATGCATTTTTATTCTCAGTACCAATATACTGGTATTGACTTGAATGATTGTTAAGGTTTTACTTCAGCACCAACCAGATGGGAAAGGGTTCTGACCATTGTGACTTGGCAAAGATGCTGTTTTAATTTCCTGCAAACATAGGTCTTGCTGCATTTTTGATGTAGAAGAGTGGGAAAACATTTTCAAGACTTCCACTCTGGCCAGACACTGGTCCTTCACAGCAGAAGTGAATCATACGAGGTGCGTTCAAGTTCTAAGGTCTCCTAATTTTTTTCTGGGGACCGGGTGCAGAAAGAAACATGCGTTTGAGCTTAAAATACGCGGGTACTCTTTGTTTATGCATGAACGAGATGGCAGCACCGTACAGCGCACAGGGTTCTTGTAGCTGCCGCACGAGTGAGAAGCGTTTTCAATACTTAAAATGGCGACGTTCAGTGTACAAGAACAGCGTGTAATCATCCGTTTTCTCCACTTGCGGGGCGTAACACCCATTGAAATTCATCGTCGATTGAGTGAGACATGCTGTGATGGTGTTATGGATGTGAAAAATGTGCGTTCGTGGGTGCGACAGTTCAAAGAAGGCCGAACGTCGTGTGACAACGAACCGAAGCAGCCGCGGCCACGAACCAGCCGGACCGACAACATGCTTGCGCGAGTGGAGCAAATTGTTATGGAGGACCGCCGATTAGGTGTGAGAGATATCGCCTCCAAAGCGGGCATTTCCATGGGATCTGCGCACACCGTCCTGCATGAAGACCTGAAAATGCGGAAAGTGTCTTCACGGTGGGTGCCCCGAATGCTGACCGACGAACACAAGGCTGCGCGGGTGACAATTTGTCAGGCGATGTTGACACGCGATGATGGCATGAATGGTGCTTTCTTTTCATCAATTGTCACAATGGATGAGACATGGATGCCGTTTTTCAATCCTGAAACGAAACGGCAGTCGGCACAATGGAAGCACACTGACTCACCGCCACCGAAGAAATTTCGGGTTACCGCCAGTGCGGAGAAAATGATGGTGGCCATGTTTTGGGACAGTGAAGGCGTAATCCTAACTCATTGTGTTCCAAAGGGCACTACGGTGACGGCTGCATCCTACGAACATGTTTTAAGGACGAAGCTCCTTCCAGCATTGCAAGCAAAACGACCGGAAAAGGCTGCACGTGTGCTTTTCCATCAAGACAACGCTCCTGCTCATCGGGCGATCCTAACTCAGGAGTTTCTTCGTGACAACAACTATGAAGTGGTGTCTCATGCTCCCTACTCACCTGACCTCGCTCCCAGCGATTTTTGGCTTTTTCCAACGATGAAGGACACTCTCCGTGGCCGCCCATTTTCCAGTCGGGCCGCTATTGCATCAGCGATTTTCCAGTGGGCAAAACAGACCCCTAAAGAAGCGTTCGCGGCAGCCATGGAGTCATGGCGTCGACGTTGTGAAAAATGTGTTCGTCTACAGGGAGATTATGTTGAGAAGTGACAGAAGTTTCAACTTTCTGGTGTAAGTAGTTTGTCAGAAAAAAATTAGGAGACCTTAGAACTTGAACGCACCTCGTAGTGTTGCAATTCAATGCCATAAAGGTAGAAGGGGAAAGACAAAGTGCTTCATCCCTTCCCTTGTTTGTGTGACCCTGAATTTTGACCCTATGATGATTCATTTCTGTTATGAAGGGTCATAAACGTCTGGCCAAAGTGGAAAATTTGAAAATGACTTCCTACTAGGGTTGCCACCTTTGAAATGAGCAAAATATGGACATATAGTCTGTGGACATATGGAAATATGGACAAACATATGAAGTATACTTGCATTTGTGGTTCTGCTGCAAATACCTACAGCCACCTTTAGCCAAAGTATCAATTGATGCTATAAGTGTGTGGCTCTACTACTCTGGCTCGAAGAAAACAGTGGTTTTAGCTGCTATTAAGTTTCATTAACTAAAAAAATCTTAATTGTAAAGTATGGATGAAGTAGTGTCCATATTAAGACAAGTTTGCAGTATGGACATTGCATCTGAAATATGAACTGTCCATACTAATTATGAACGGGTGGCAACCCTGCTTCCTACACTTCTGGCTGCTTACCTTAATGCTAGAGACCCCTTTTTCAGGTACTCAGTGGAGTAATTGCATGGTCAGACCGAAAGGTGGAAGTCCCAAATGAACCGTTCAGTTGTTCGTATTTGTGGACAGTTGTAGGACCTGGCGGTGGGATGGAGAGTGGTGGTAGATTGGGGGGGAAGGGGGGTGGTTGGAATAAGGGAATCCCCCTCCCCCAATTAAAAATTTCTGTATCCACCATTGTATGCATGTGACCCCACCCATGCTTCCCGTTCAGTGACACTGACAGGCAAATTGGCATGTTGGGGTCGTATTTGGGAGAGAGGGGGGGGGGGGGGAAGGTTGAGTCCAAGTTGATCCCCCCCCCCCCCAAAAAAAAATAAATAAATAAACTTCCTAATATGCCTGTCAGTGGGGGTGGTTTTGGGGGGGGGGGGGGGGGGGGGGGGAAGGTTGAGTCCAAGTTGATCCCCCCCCCCCAAAAAAAAATAAATAAATAAACTTCCTAATATGCCTGTCAGGTCATCACGCAGTGTTATTACAGTGTAGTGTAAGACACCACCCCACACGGTAGGTCTCACCTCATACGATTACCGTTATTGTCTCTCAAGGCTTTTACCTTTCAATGTGCTTAATTTATACTGTTCTGAAAATAAAAGCATGCGAAATCTATGGAGACATTGTCCGCGGGATTCCCCTCGTCCCTCTGTTCCGTCACCCGTTCGTGAAACTCGAGCAAGTTGGTTCGAATTTCGTCACCTCTTAAAGCCGTGCTGAAAGTCCTGGGAAGTGCGTTCCTTTCGAGGAATTCTAAGATAATCCCTTCAGATGCTCTTCATGATCTTACCCAGAATTCCCGTGAGACTTACCGGCCTGTAATTACCTGGATTGCTCTCATCTACGTTATTTAGTACCGGTATAACATTCGCTTGTTTCCAGTCCCTAGGCACTTCTCGCGAAAAGCCAACTTGGGATACCTAACTTCTAAATGGTACCGAACTAGTACTTCCTTTGGGAGTTCCTTGACGACACGAGTCAGAACCCCATAGGGACCGGTTGCCTTATCTGCTATCAGCTCTCTCTTATTCGGTGTCCTCGACAGACCCTGCGCCCACGAGGGGCCCGATCGAATCCTATCGTTGGAATACCGATAAAAAGCCTGAGGATCATTCTTAGCGGAAAGAGCTAGCCGCTCCTCTGCCTTTCGTTTCTGCCGACCTAATTTCCCGCTTCGACGATCTCGTGGCTACCCTGTGTTCCTCGTCGTCCGCTCGATCACCTGTGCGTCTAATACGAATCCCAATTCTGCTTCTTAAAGTCTGATCGGCGACTTGAGTCAGACAGGCGTTTCGAGGGATCTCTTCGACTTTTTAGGCATGCAAACCTCGATGGAACCTACCGGAACCGCGTTGAAAACCTGCCACTGCTCCTCTATCGTTCGTCTTAGCAAGCCTTCCCTCTCGATCGACATCAGAAATGCATTCGCGTAGTTTACTGAAATCCGCTTTTCTATAGTCACACGAAGCCTTCGTCGGAAAGGCCTATCGGTGCGTTTCGACCGTTCGATGTCACACGTGATGCATTCCCCTCCTGGCACAGACCAATTCATGTCGGGCATTTCGCTCCAAAGAGCAAAAACCTTCTTTGGGTTCTCGCCAATACCACGGGCATTGAAATATGGTGTCGTCCACATCCTCCCTGTTGCCGCACCGGCCTCACACTGTAAATGTTCAGTTGTTTCACGATTAACCGAAGTCAGATCCTCTCTGACGCAGACAGCTAATTCGTTTCTCGCGTATTGCAGGACCCCGCCGCCCTTCCTTCCGAGCTTATCCACATGCGATATGAAGAATCCCTGGATTTGGAATTCCTCATCCGTGAGATCCTCGCTCCCCCAAGTCTCAGAAATTCCGATAGCATCATAACCGACTCCGATAGCACCATAACCAATTCTGATGGCATCGGAACCAGTTCCTAGCGTCCTTCCCCGCGGCTCATCCATTTCGTTACGCAAGCCACGCGCATTCGAGTAGAAGCATTTCAGTTGATTTATTGCCGAGCCCTTTCTTGATACCAGTACATATATGTCGAAGCATAGAACTACTCGTAATGGCTGTCCCTCGCCCCTGAGGGATTTCCTCCGATTCGGTGAGACATTAGATACGCTTCAAGTCGTTGGCCTTTTTTTTTTTTGGACATTCCGTGCAGACTCAGGCTGAAGTGACCCAAGGTAAATGATAAATGAACTTTGAGAAAACTCTTTGGATCGATACTCATTGATTCATTGCGAATAAGCTCATGAAAACCATCTGCGAGAGACGACCAGCTCCAAGAATGAATTTGAGTGGAAGTGGAGGTCGAAATGGCCTTGACGACCAGGAAGGACGAACGCTCGCTTTCGTCCGCTCCACTACAAACAGGAGCTCTTGGCTGTTCTCGGAGCCTAACTTCTTTGCAATAATTGCTTCAAGGTTCAATGTGGTTTAGTGGAATCAAGAGGCGATAACACCCATTTGCTGGTCGTATTGTTTCGGTCCGATAAATTCGGATGAAAATTTGAGAATCAGTTGAAAACGTGCTCGTACAAGCATGGTGAAAGTTTCGCGAGAATAGTTCCAATGTGAGCGGAGGTATTTAAGCTAAAAGTCATTGGTCTTTCTTTTTTGCAATATCCCGTGGGGCCGTTCACAAATTACGTAACGTAATTTTTTAATTTTTTTGCCCCTCCCCTCCCCCCTGTAATACTCCGTGACAAAAGCTTCGACCCCCCAAAAAATTACAAGACAAAATATGACCCCCTCCTCCATAATTTTTTTTAAATAATAAGAAAAATAAACAAGTAAAATGCATTTGAAAAATAAACTAGTTTATTAAACTATAGCTAACACTCTGGATTACACACATTGAGAGATGATTAAAATGTTTTTAAAAAAGGAAAGGAAACGTTTTTTCTTTCATTCGGTTCCTTCTTCAAGGAAATAATTTTTGTTTGTCTATGTTCATTTTGATTGATGGTGATCACCCGTTTGAGATTAAAAAAAAAGAGTAAAAGGAGACGGGGAAATGTAGGGTAGAACGGTGGGAATAGAGATCGCGATGCCGAGGGAGACGAACGAGGGCAACGTCCAAAGGGTAACTGAGCCTGTTTGGCCTGTTGGGCAGGTCCAGGCATGGAACTGCGACTTGGCGAGTTTAGCAACAGGGGAGAGGGAAATCAACAGACGTTCCCACGCTCCCAATGCCCACTCCACTGTTAGTAAGGGTGGTGGGTGCGGGTGGGTAGTAGGGTTGGGTCTTGTGCCGTGTGAGTGATTTGTAACTAAACAATTACCCTTCTAATAAGAAATTCCAGTCGCATAATTTATTCCTTTTTTTAAATGAAAATAAATTGTTACGTGACATTCGTGCGACCCCTTCCCCCCCCCCCGTAACAAATCGTAACACTTAGTCTGATTCCCTCCTATCCCCCTTGCGTTACGTAATTTGTGAACGGCCCCTGTATGGATGAAAAGCGTGGGATTTCGCTCTCCAGAACAACGTTCTGGCAACATGGTGGGTGACATGGCGATCCGCTGCGGCGTGGCCTGTGCGCTTCTGCCACTGCCAAGCAGATAGTTTTAATCAGACAGAGCTAACTCATATCCTAACCCAGAGCGCTCTTTTGTGTTCGCAACAGCAGTTAGTGTAGGGGTGATGGAAGGGTTATCTTCATTTCCTTTGAACAAACCTACGAACCCTGGATGCATAGGCGCCGAACCCAGGGGGGCAAAGGGGCACGTGCCCCCCCCCCTCCGAGAATGTCCAAGTTTCAATAAAAGTATGGCACATGGAAAATCGAAAAAAAATTTGCTGCTTCGCGAAAGAAATGAAAATTATAATTTTCCTTTCTATTGGGAGCGCCAAATGGGAGAGATCCCTGTGAGCCCATAAGGGCATGGGGTGGAAGGGCCATGCCCAGCCCGTCACTCTGCTACAATAATAATTCTGAACTACCCTAATGGATCCTGGAATAATTTCATCAATGTTATTTCAGGGGCATTAGGGACTTGCCCCCCCAAATTTTTTTAGAAGTTGGTGCCCATGCCTGGATATCCCCAGCTGGAATATTTCATCCAGTTTTGGAGGCCTACAAATAAGGGGGATTTGTTGGCGCTCGAGGGAGTGCAGAGGAGGGGAGGGGCAAAAAAATTAAAAAATTACGTTACGTAATTTGTGAACGGCCCCACGGGATATTGCAAAAAAGAAAGACCAATAGCGAAATCGCCTCTTGATATCACTAACTCTCCTGACTCCTGACATGATAATCAAACTTTGATATCATTAGCCTAGGCTTGTCAGGCGAAATACTGTATCTGCACAGAATAGCACAAGAGAATTCTTTCACAAGAAGATGCATTTGTCACTGCCCTGGTGTAAATTTTATGATGGCCAAATTAGATTTGGTACATAGGTTCTAGGCTTAAACACATCAGGCACTGATTGAGTAGATAAGTAGATTTTTCTGTAAAAAGAAAGGGGAGGGGGCACCCTTCAAAAGTTATTTAGCTGGTAAAAGAGCAATGTGTAAGAATAGTTTTTCAGCAGTGAAATGAAGGCGAAATTCTGAAGAAATGATCCAAAGGGCATTGTTCTATTCTTAGAAAAGGGCAATCCACAAGGCATCAAACACGTGAGAAAAAAATGATGAAAACTCAAGTGCAGTCTCATCAGTTATTGGAGGGCATGAATAGCTGATTTTCGTGATGCCAGCCTACAGCTATTGCATCCTTATCTTCTAGCCTGCATGCAAGCTTACACTGGTAATTTTGGACACAAGTTTTGAAATTGCTGCTGCTGGGGCTGTGACTGTTCAACATGAATGATAGTCCTATATTGAATCGCAGGTTGTGTCTACTTCTATTTGTAACTCAATCTCTATACAAAGCCCAGTGCTTACTGCTAAAAATATTTTTTCAGTATGCCTTTTTTTCGAGCTCTGGTGTGTTAATTTTGCCCTAGTTGTGTGATAACCATTGCATGTGCAAGAATGACTCCAATTATGCAAGTAAATGTTAAAATATGTTACAATTACATAGTTCAATATCCACTCATACTTATTCCCATTCTTGGCTCCAACATTGGAAGCACATTGATCACAGTTGAACCTTGCCCTCAGGGTTAGCAATCAGGGTTTCTGTCCTCAGCTCTGCATTGGTCATAAAGTGACCATGCTGTAGGCCTATTCCTACTTGCAAAATAATTGAATATTTCTATTAATTTCCATGTGATAGCAAATTAAGTTTGAGTTCTCAAATTCTTGGGATAAGTTGAAATTGAAATAGTGGGCAGGCACAACTTGAGGAAGTCTCATTTTATGCATACCATCATCACTTCTCTTTGTCATATTTCTCACTGCTTTTTTAAATTAGCAAGTTAATATCTTATAACAAATAGCTGATGTTAGGAATGCTTTTATTTACTAGACCCATATACAGTGTGTATATTCATAACTGATTTGGAACTAGAGATTGATGGATCTCATGAGATCCTTTATAATGAGAAGGTAGGGAGAGGAGCCAAAGATGGTGTCAATCAAATCCATTCAAGTATGAAATAGGATTTTCTCATGTTTTATTTATCCTTTCTAATGCCATAAAAGTTTATGCATAAACTTTGTTGTGCAGAAGCATGCTCTTAATTTTATGCTTATACTGGGTGGCCTAAAAAAAGTTCAGAACTTTATACACCTGCAGATGGTGTACCATACGAGTTATCAACAGGAAATTTACAGGATTTTATATGCAATTGTTGCAGGTAATGGAACAAAAATTTCATTGAAATTAACTGTAAACTACATGAGTAACAATTTTTCTCCCACGTGATGTCAAAAGGGCAAGTATGCAAAGGAACATGCCTGAACTCAATGAAAAAACTATTTGATGGGTCCTCCATGGATGTCCTCCTTGGATTGCGGGCCGAAGCAGTGCGCCAGCAAACGCACTGACACACTTGCTCATTTGACGACTTGTACAGAAAGAACCCTTACTCATGTTCTGAGCAAGGAATTTCATTGAAATTTTCCTAAAGCCACCTACCTATATTGGGTATGACACTGAAAATTTCAAGGCAATGCTTAGCATGGTATCCTGTCTGCAGCTGCACAAAATGTGGAACTTTTTTTTGGGTCACCCGTTATAATTCTTGCATTGTTTATATTGGCCAGGAGGCTTTTTTGTGATCAATAGACTCATTCTACAGGTTTGTGAAGAACATTAAACCTCAGGCTTGACTGAATATGGATGCTCCTTGCTTACCAAGTCACATGAGACCTCTGCAGTGGTTATTGGGGAAATGGGAATCCCAGACTGGAGAAGGATTTTTCTCAACGATTGAACCATTCAAGTACAATGAAAATGTGGAATTCTCCAACATTGGGCAGCCTGTCATCAATTATTCAGCCACATCATATCATGCTGGGAATGGATCTCCAATGCATGTGGAGTCTGGATTCATTCGCTGCCACCCTGACAGTGGAAAGATTGCCTTCATGACAGCACACAACTTTGGTATGTTCAATCCATGTACACTGGATACCCCAAGGGGCATGTCATTCTTCTACCTAAAATAATCACATAAAATTTGAACTGTCAGTTAACCTGTTGACTCTTTGATGGTGATCTATGAAATAATATCCCATTCTGAGGAATGGCTGAAGGAACACAGAGAAGTAGTTCACATTTTGCACCATCTGGTGAGCCCTTGTCGCCAAGTTTGGAAATGAGTGAGTCTTGAGTCACATGTTTTATTTCCTAAAAAGGAGTGACTTCTCTTATGAAGTCCATTATGAGGTGTCAATGGTTTTTTTGTACAATGCTTCAAGTCATAGAACCACTCAGTGCTTGTTCAATGAATCGCATTTTGGCAGAGAAACCTTCAAAGATCAATCCCATGAGGAGCAACTTCTCTGAGTCACTTCTGAAGTTTAAATGTTTCAGTTTCAAGCTCTGCCCAAGGAAAACTGCTGAATAATGTACCAACATATAGAGCAATCTTTGGGCATTGAGGAAACAACAATACAAGACATATTGAACAAAAACTCAATGTCAGAATGGTCTGTGCAAGATGGATCTTGCATTTCCTGGCCAAGAAACAAAAACAGAAGAAGGTGGCCAACTGAACAGGTCAAAACATTTTGACAATTGCATATACTCTTTAATAAAACTAATTTTAAAAGTTGCCCAAATTAATTCTTCAATCTATTAGGCCAGCAGTTCCCAGACTTGTTTGAATTGCGACCCACTTGCTGACATACAAAAAATTTTGCGACCTGCCAGAGTCTAGGACGAGGTACTTTCAAAGTATTTATGATGTGAAGGAAACTGATCAACCTTTTCTGCAGGGCATGATTTATCTTGTGCAGATGTGGATATAGTGATTTTTTTTATACAGGGGAAATGTATGCGACCCACCTTGATGCTTCTCGTGACCCACCAGTGGGTTGCAACACACAGTTTTGGGAACTGCTGTATTAGGCAATTCATATGAAGAGTCATATTACCCCAATGAGCATATTCCCCCAAGTTACCCTGTAGCATGAATGTTCTTCATTTTCCTCTTTAAGTTGAATCTCAAAACTGAGTAAAAGTTTATTGTCCTGCACAATAATTAATTTTTTCAGGTGTTGCCATGATAGAAGAGGGATTTATGAATGAAGATGGTGATGAAATGGTACTTGAAAGTTTCCAGACCTCCAGGATGTCTTTCTCCAAGGTGCCAACTGTGACCCAAGTAAGATGCTAGTCTTGGTCATTGTCTCCTGCCCGTATAGCATCCTCAAAGAGTTTCTTAAATATGATCTCCTTGATTTCCCTGTTGCAGACAAAACGAGTTTACAAAAAAAAAAATGATGATGAGATGGAGTATGTCTTCAGCATGGCTACAGCAAATACTCCTGAACTGGAGGAGCACTTACGGATCACCTACAAGAGAAGCAAATAAACTTTGTTTCCCAAACTCCAGGGAACCTGAACTCCATGTCTGATAATGCTTAAGGGTGGCAATTCACAATGCTATTCTGCTTTCTCTTGCATTTGTAATATTGTTGTGGATCAATTAACTCTTTCTATTTGGCTGAATGCCCTAATAGTTGACCATGACATTCATGCTAGTATGGTCCAAGTTTGGCCTTTTACATGTTTTATAGAATATGTTATGCAGGTCTACCAGCCTATCTAATAAGTTCATTTTGGCTGATATTCCTGAGGCAGCTCATATGTTCAGATGGATGTTCTGAATATTTTTTCATATTTTGATGATGAACATGGGATCATGGGATCTTGATATACTGTATATATTCTTGGTTTTGTGTTCTTTGTGGGAAGTAAAAAGTGCAATTTCACAAATTTTTTGCTGTTGTTGCAAAAGCAGCATCTCCATTGGAGATTGGCAAATCTGATATATTTTTGGTTCCATATACAATAAAAGAATTATCTTAGGCTTTTTAAATTATCTTTTGGTTTTCTTATAGTTTGCTTTTTGAGAGCAGTGGGAGGCATACTTGTCTATTAACAATGATACAACTTGAAGAATCTTATCATAGTTCTTAACTCTGCCCCCTTGATAGGACTGCACTAAGATTGATTTTCTTGAAATGGCATTCCACCATTAGTATGCTTGTGACAGATTCAATGAGAAGGAAAGTGCATCTGTCCAAGCAGTGTGATGCATTATGGCAGAGGAGAATTTTGCTGAAGATAGTGGTGGAAAACACAGGTATTTCTGCATCTCATGCATGGCTCTGAATAAAGAACTGTATCGACATTATGGGCCAGGAATACTCAAACTGTCCATCTGTGTAAGCTATTTGAAAATGCTGACTTTGTCCATGTGAGCACTTATTCTTGTGGTGTTGGCCATTTCATGATGCTCGTATTTGTCGTAGGAGATGTGTGGGAAAACCACTGACAAGTATGTTGAATATGAGGGGACACTTGTATTTATTGATCTCATGCTTCAGAAGAAGGAAGCCTATCGACATGTCCTCTTCAATTCTTCTTTTACTGTGAGTTTTGCTTTCACCTCTTTTCCCTTAATATACTATTGCCATTAGGTGTATTGACTTGTGAAAGAAAAAAGGACCATGAATGACTTCTTTGCTTTCTCAGGCATATTGGAAACCTTTAATGCTGCTGCTTCTGTTTGAAGCATACAGACGATGGCATCAACTAAGAAAGCCTCAAGCTCTGGAATCTTATGTGGAACTCGAATGGGGTTTTTATGTAATCCTCATTGCAGTTTCCCTAGGTAAGTCACTCCTCTCTGAAAATTGTGTTGCTCTGATTCTGATTTTTATATTTAAATCATTTAGAACTTTTGAGTGGGGAGAAAGTAAACTTGAGTCTGTAACTTCTATTGTATGCAGAATTCCTTATGTACCTGAGAGTGGCAGGTGGATTGGCAAGTCAGTTGTCTCAAAGTGCCTACCAGAGGGAGAAGAGTCGCCGGTGGCGAGATGGAATCAATGCCCTCATCCTGGCATCTTATGGTGAGAGCTTCATGGTTCTCGGTCTCCTCTGGGATCAAGACCAAGATATCTTCTACTTCACCTTCACCACCCTCTTCATCCTTGTCTCTCATGCTCAGGCATTCTCTGGTTAGCATGCATGCATGACTGTCCCTTTCTCATTCAAGGTGTAAACTTATGATTTCCATTTGAAAAACATTTATGGACTGCTTTTTTTGAAAATGATAATTGAGCTAATTTGGAATGAATGGAATGAGATATGCTCTGGGCATTGCTTGGCAAAGCCTCTGTTAAGAGTCTGTCTTTATGCCAATTCAGTCCTTCTGGCAAGAGCAAGTTCATGTCCTTGATTGGGTCAGGATTGAAAAGTGTTACACTTGGATCTAGCTTTTTGAGATAAGTGAGATAAGTTTCCATTTTGATTGAGGCTTGCTAGTTGATTTCTTTTTTTCCATGTTGCAGTCGTTTCCAGTGTGTCATCTGCCAAGTCACTTGTGATTGTGACTTGCCTTGCAGCCTCATTTGCTTCACTCGACCATGGTGTCTCCCGTTTTTTAGCTAAACTTCTCTTCTAATCCAAATGCATGTAACAGTGCTTGATTCTACCCACTGTGATACTTGATTGTGCTGTTTTTGTATTTCCTTTGCAAGTGCCAATATACTGGTTTATGTTTTGAATGATGTGGTTTCACTACACTACTTGAAGCAACATGATGGATGTGTCTGATAACTAGGGCTTAGCAGAGATATTCTCGAAAATTGAGTTGCTCTGGGTTTATTGAGGCTTACTTGCTCTGAACTTAAAATTGCTTTCAGCCTCTTCAATTCATGCAACTCTTGCACTGTATCGTTACTTGAGGGTTTCTTACTTCAATGCATACAATTGTCATGCACTGTTGGAACAAGTGAGTGGCAGCCAGCTGACTTTTCAGGCAATCGTTGATGCGTTTGCAGTCACGGGAATTGCAATTTGTGGAACATTTAAGAGATACCACTGATGGAGACCTTTGAGATTTCCATTTTTCAATCCTGAGAAAGCCATACAAAAGTTTCTCGGCTGTGTAACTTGTGCTATATGCAGCGATACAAAAGAAGGGACCTAACACAGGTAACAAGCGACAGGCCATTGATATTCTTTTTTAGTGCTAGCTTGGGGATCTTAGCCTTCGAGAATAGTTGATCTTCCATCGTACAGTTTATGACGTGGTTGTGGGACGCATAGTTGGTTCAAGTCCAAACTTAGTGGCTCGGCATTTACGGGATGGGTCGAAAACCCGGACAGTTTTCAACGATGCACCATGCTATAGTCACTGCGTATATTTTAAAGCGGCTTGCGGCATTTGGGAACGGAATGAATAAGCTTAAAATGATGTACTTACATTTTAAATATCTTCAAAAGTTTCAGACATTCAGGAGCTCATATAAACAAACAAAAATTACATTGCCACAGGAAGGGACACGCAACGGCTGAAGGTCACATGGCGTAGTTCTTGTTTGTTGTTCATACGAGCTCCTTAATTTCTGAAAATGTTGAAGGTATTCCCTCTGAAATGGACGTGCACCATTTTAAAGCTTATTCTCTCCGCTTTCAAATGCTGGGAACTGTATTAAAATGTGTGCATTGAGTGAAGTGTAGTGTATCGTTGAACACTCCGGCTTTTTTTTTTTTGTACTGAACCTTTCACAACGATGAGGGAAGTCATAGCGGATGGGTACTCCAGTACCCAGTTCTTGAGTGTCAAGTGAAGACCATTGGGGGCAGGAGCGACAAATCCCCCTCTACTTTTCCGTGTGAAGGGGCAAGGGGTGCCTTTTCACCCCCCTCCTCCCAGTTACATGCAAATAAACGACCAAAGGATCGAGTTCTTGCATCCAAATTATGGAAAACCCCACTCGGTATTGGAAGCCTTTTACCCTCACGGTTTCGAAAAAGTTCTACCCTAGGTCCAAATCATGCCACTGGTACAAAATATAAGAAAACTGTTAAGTTCGATGTCTATAAACCTCGTGCAGAGCAAAAGAGACGCTGAGTGCGAGGCCTCTTCCAAGTTGCCCTAGTTCAAGTGGCAAAAAATAAACTATTTGATGAGAGACTTGGCACTCCCAACAGAGATGGAGCGAGCTCGGTTGTCTTTCCGAATTTCATTTTGAAAGGTCCTCTTCGCGATTTGCAAATAATTACTTGAGAAAGGCTTCCTCGCGTTCTCAGAATTGGCGGCATTCGTGACAAACGGATTCAATAAATGGTAGGAGACAAGGGAACGGTTTCCAGAGAGCAGGGGCGGACTGGGACTAAAAATCGGCCCTGGCATTTTTACTCACACCGCCCCTCATTGAGGCTGTGGCTTATAAACCTAAATTGATTACTGAAACGAATTACTAGACAATGATTATACCTACCTCATTATTGATACAGGCGGGGGGGTTCGTCGACTCTCAACTGCATGGCGCTGTGGAATCGCACTGCGGGGCTAGCGATGCTATTGAAAATATGCATGGCTACCAAAGAAACGTAGTAGCGGCTCCAGGATGACAGGTCAAAAGGGGGGGAAAGGTCATTAATTTCTTGTAAACCGACCTGAGATATTTGAGTATATTATACAGTAGTTTAGTGTGTGTGGGGGGGGGGGGGAAGAGACATTCGTGGAAGGACAGGGTTGTCATATATTCAGAACTTGCAATTTCCTTATACATTATCATTGCAATACAATAATTAAGGGGAAAAGTAAGAGAAATGATCGTGAGGTATCGCAAGCAGGAATTGCATGGAAACGATGTACAAGGAAAAGATACATGTGCTTCCAAAAAAAATATCGAAACCACCTAAGCTCGACTTGACCCGCCTGACAACCCAGACCTGTCAATCCATCTTCTTTGTCCTATCTGATGAGGTCCCACTTGTAGCACCTTGTTTAATCCCCCTTCTTCCTCTGTCGGCTCTCTTCTCCGACCTCATCCATCGGTTCTTTCTCTGGGAGTAAGAACTTCCTTTTTTTTTTTATTCAAAGCAAGGAATGAACTACGTTGCATAAGACTAATAGGGTGCTTGAGGGGACCGGCCCTTCTGGCATTTACCAGAGCTGCCAGATGGCCAGTCCGCCCCTGCCAGAGAGCAAGAATATACAGAAGATTCCCAGAGTTCTTTCCAGTTCAATCATCCAAATAATGATGATTGCCGGAGTTCTGCAAGGCGACGCTACGAGTTTTTCATGGATTTTGAAATCGCAGGCTCCAAAACTCTGCTCCCAATCGAGGAAAAATCGTCTCTGAGGTTTCTCCTCGTACCCGACGACCCCAGACTCCAAAACGCATGCGAAGCCAAATCCAATAGCCTTGCGGTCCCAGGCCTCGCACATCCCTCGTGCCCGTCATCGCCCGACATCCTCACGAAGCTCTTCTCTCTCCCAAGACCATCCGTATCCCATGCGATAAAAGCTTTACCCTCGTCGGCTCATCCTTCCTCTCTCCCGCCCGCATTCCCAGAAAGTGGACCATGTGGACCACAGCGTCCAGTCCGGTCCAGTCGCTCCTTGACCAGCACTCGGAGCTGACGCGCTCTTCAGACGCTGCTGGCGCGCTAAATTCGGTGTCAAGATTTCCGGGTTTCTCGATAAAATTCAAATCCTTTTTTGCAACGACCGTGGAAGCGGACAGGTATCGAAGTCTGCCTTGAAATGTGCTAAGTATTCTCATCTGCGAGCATTGAAAGGGGAAAAGAAGCTGATTCCCTTCACGACCGTCTTTAATATTTTTCTTTCATTTGCCGTGTTATTTTGAATTCTGCGCGAGAAAACAAGATGGAAAGAATTTTCTCGTCGTTAAACCCGACCGTCGATGCAGCTTCTTCGCGCCCATAAATTGCGTGTTTCCGGGTTCTCAGAGGGGAGAGGGAGGGGGAAGCTCTCGAGGTCTTCGAGAAACATTTGCTTCGGAGTACGGTGTGAGCTCACTCATGTTTATCAACAAATCGCCGCCTTTTCGCCGACACGAAAAAAGGCATGCAGTCGCATGCCTTTTTTCGTGTCGGCGAAGGCCTACCTATGACTGACGTTTTATCTTTTTTTTTCCTTCCATCATATTTCGCCCCCCATGATATGATGGGAGCGAGTGACCGAGCCTTGTTTTGACCAAGGACATTCTTTGTTTCTCCCCCCCCCCCCTCGGTTGTGCGGCAGACCCATAGTGCAATGAATATCTTCTGCCGGATGTTGCAGGAACCAATACACCCCAGAGAACAATTTTCGACCTTTCGTTGACTTCGCCCCCTCCCCCTTTTTCCTCCGAATCCTGAATCAGGAGTCGAGATCGTCCGAGAAACCCATTCCAAGATGCTGAGATGTACCTCTTCTGTTCAAACGGGGTCAAAACTTCTCTCGAGGTACTTTTCAGTGCTGCCCAGTAAAAATGACCCATAAAAATGTCGTTTTCTCAATGGAGCTGCTCTTCGTTTTCCTCAAGCACTTTTTTTTTTAAAAGCCCTTACGATACTCTTTCAGTTGTCGACATCTTTAGGTCATCCCGTGTCGAGATGCCAAGACCCCCACACTCTTAACGCATAATTTCCCTTTAAGTACTCTTTCAGTGCTGCGGTATTGCGGAACACCAAATGAAACGCATGACAAGGCAAACGTACTGATATCTTAATTGTCAACCCGACCTTATAGGTTTTGCTCAGACAGCCTTAGTACTTATCAATTCTAAGTACTTTTCAGTATTTCCATTGCTTGTTCAACCAGAGGTGCTTAAAAAATACATAACGTTGTGCGAAGACGATCCAAAGAAGACGATCCCCATGCTTTTTGAACTTCCACGGTAAGTACTTTTTGGTACTGGCAGTGCGAGTAGTTTGATGCATGAGCCGAAAAGGCGGGACCTCACAGCGATTCCGAATCCATCGGTACCTAATTCCTCGAAATCGGTGCGAGAAATGAACTGGATGGAGCGAAGAAGGGGGAATGGGGTTTTGGGGGCGGGGATTCGCGGGGGGGGAGGGCGAGGTCGAGCGTTGGATGTCTCCAGCCCGAACTCGCCTTTTTTGTCTTTTCATTGTTGAGCCTAGAAATTCGTTTCGGCAAGGAGGGCATGCGAAGAGGTTCTGTTCTGTCCCCCGCATTTCGCCCCGAGCTTCTTGCATGTCGGGTCGCGAGAGGGAAGGCAAGGGGCTCGGGAAGCGGCGGCGCAAAGCGTTGCGGATCCGAGGCGTCGCGACGCCGGTCGTCCGCCGCTTGGCCCGTCGCGCGGGGGTGAAGCGCGTCGCCTCGCTCGTCGGCGAGGAGACTCCTCGTGCCTTCTGCGTTTCTACGGTCGTCGGAGACGAGGTAAGCTACGTCGAATATGCCAGGCTGGGTGCGGCGCTCGGCAACTTGCGCATCTCGCAGCCTGGTGAGGCAGCGAGTCGCCCCGTGACGGAGACGACTGCTGAGCGTCTGGCCGCCTGGCAGAGCGACAGCACAGACCACCTAGCCGCCTGGCAGAACGACCGAGCAAACCTCCTGGCCGCCGGACAGAGCGACCGAAGAGATTCCTCGGCATCCGATTGTTGTGTCAGCATGGAGTGCCGCTTCGACTCTCTCGTCCTGGGCTCGACCGAACCCGCCAACCGCCACACGGCTGGGGATTGACAGAGAGGGTTCACTCGAGGGCGAGGGCGCTTCACCGCTTCTTCCATAAGGGCGCTTCTCCGCGCCCTCCGAGGTTTCCACTTGCGTACAATCCAGTTTACCGTCTTTTTGTTTGATGAAAAGAGAAAAATGCGAGCCGATGTGAGAGTTTTTCGTTCGGTTTCTCAGCCTTTTTTTCTCTCTTGATTTCCCAATGTCATTTTGGCAATGTCCAGTCGTGCGTCTGTGGAACGCCTCGTCGGTGTTGCATTTCCGAGTTTCTTCTCTCCGATGTTATTTTCCCTTCTCTTCCCAGAGGCATAATCTCGTGCTAATAAAATACTTTGGACGAGAGCGTTTCTCCTTTACTCCATGGACGAAGACGGTCGTCGTGCCGACGGATGAAAAAATCCATCGAAATTCATTTGGAAAATTTGCAGAATCGTGAACAATTTTTTTTTATATCGTCTCCTGCCTCGACAATCGAACAAAAAAGGTCGAAGGCAAACTTATGCCTTCATCGTTCTTGGCAATTTCAGAGCAGTCGTAGTGCCACCTTCCAATAGCTGACGCCATCCCTCGTGAATGCACTCCCGTCGTTAAAGGACGTGTGGTGGCCTTTCTCAAACGCTCCCTTGCAAATTCAACAGGTCACCCTTCCATTGAAAGCCAGCTTGAGACAGAAGGCCACAAATGAAGTTGTTTGAAGTGATCCTTCAGAAATTAGAGCGTATTTGTGGAAGTGGCTTCGTCTTCACGTTCTCCATTTCATTTCAGATCGAAGCTTTTTTTTTTCGAAGGAAGTTATGGAAGAAAATGCGAGATTACGCACGCCTTCTGCGTCGCGTTCGCTCGCTGATCCGACATTCCGAAATAACGCATTCCGCATGATGAATTTTTCGTTCCCGATTGCTCGCTGAAAATCGTGCTAAAGTGCAGACCCAGCATGAAATTCAAGCCAGCAGCCAACAGTCTAAAAGTAAAAGTCACATCAGGATTGATTCAGCTGAAAATAGTCATTAAAATAAGCTGTATTCCGACTGGAAATGGTCGGAATTTCCAGCTTTGGTCCAGCTGGAAAATTCTAGTTGGAATTTCAAGCTGAGTTGAACCTACTTTTTGTTACACTTTCACTTAACAAACTGTCACATGGAAAAAAAAAAGCTATTTTCCGTGACTAACATCCTCAACATCCTCAAATCCGCTCTGAGATTAAGATTTAATGAATTGTTGAGGGTGCTACGCCCCTTCTGCCAATTTTTTTTTCCTGGGGGGGAGGGGAAAGGAGGGGGAGGTGGCGGGGGAGGGGAGGGGAAGGCGGAAAGGATTACGAAATGCAGCTTCACCGGAACGAAGGGATCCCAGGCGCGACAAACGATGGGGCTGCGACATGTCAAGGGGGGCGTGACGTCACGAGGGCAAGGACGCTTGAGAGCGTGCGAGTGCGGGGGGTAGGCATTGCCGTTGTCGATTCTCCCGGCCGCGTGTGCGTGACCTGTGCAGTCCCGATGGTTTCCCGCTCTGTCGTCGCGTGCTTCGTCTGCTTCTTCGGTGAGACGAAATGCGGAATTTCACCTCAAGTTTGGGGATATTGCATCAAGAGAATTTATTGGAAATTCCGTTAATGGACCTGGGAAATTATTGAAATGGTTCTCTAGTTTAGTTTTTTCCGTTCCGTGAATATAGCGACGGTGATCTGATTTCAGGAGGAGCATTGGGTATATCCCACCAGAGTATAACCAATTTGAAGAATATCCTCTTCAAGGACTACGATGAGCTGGTCCCACCCATCCTGACCGATAAGACTGGCGTCGACGTCAGATTCGGGGCGTCCGTCATCAATCTTCGCCTGGTAAAAATATATATAAATATTTATTTATATTATTTGGTTGGTGATCATCGAGAGGGTTCGTTCGGGATTCAATAGGACGAGCTGAAGGGAGAAGCAATCTGGCATCTCTGGTACCGAGCTGTGAGTCGTCTGCTAGTCGATTGCGGTTGAGGTGAGGCCGCGGGAGGATGATCGGGGGATCGTTGTAGGTGTGGGAGGACGAACGTCTGAGGTGGGAGCCGTCGGAGCACGATAACATCACTGAACTGAGGGTTCCTTCGGATCGAGTCTGGCTTCCCGACATCACTGCTTACAACGAGTAAGGAATTCATTCGTTCTTCTGCTTCATTCGCGCTTCCGCATCCTTTGCAGGCTCTGGAGCCGATTTACTCGTGGCTAGGCGTCCTATTCGGAAGCGGGAGTGATGGCCTTGGGAAGCTGTGCGTGCTGCGAGAGGGACTTTTGGCAGCAGAGTCTATTATAAATGGCAAAGTTAATCTCACTGGTTAAGTTCTCACAAATGGCATCCTCACATGTGAGATTTGCGAACTAACTTGTGAAGTACGTGAAATCAAGTGCAGAACAAATGAGCTCACAATTCTACGTGAAAACATCATGGAAATAATTTAGTGAGCCCTATGTAAGTAAGAAAGAACAAGCCTATTTGAAAAATAGGGATGCATGCAAGATGATAAGAAGCAAGGCTTTTCGTACTCCCCCATCGCGAAGAAGCCGAATGAAATGAAAACAATTGAAGCTGTTGCTGTCTCCGGTTTCATCGTAGGCTTAAACGCACGCTGCTGAAGCAGATTGGGATGGTATACATCATACCCACGTGGTATGTGATATCTGAGACCAATTCGGAAGGGGCACATCAGGACCAGTAGTCTTTTTAATCGGATCAAGATTAAAGATCTTGATCCGGTTAAAGATTTTATTCGGATCGAGATCTTAGCTGATTCGCAAAGCCGACTGCCGGCGCTATGTTGAATTGGCACTTGATTTTCAGGGCCAGCGAGGACGAATTCCGATCAGCCCTGCACCAACAGCATGCATTCCACGTTGTCGTCTATTCGAGAGGGGAGGTGTTGTTCGTGCCGAGCATCACCATGAAGACGTATTGCCAGGATGACTTGGTTGATTGGCCGTTCGACGCACACGAGTGCAGCATCAAGTTCGGGTCTTGGGTCTATCATGGGTTTCTTCTTGACCTCAATCTCTATAGTGCGACGGGGAATTCCTTCGTGAGTCCTGATATAAGCGTCTGCTGGCTGCCGAGGAAAGAAGCGAGATCTTCGGGGTGAGGGGGAGGGAATCGGGTGAGACGAAATGCTCTCTTTCGAAGGAGTTGGATAATTATCGGGAATCGCCGCACTGGGAGATCGTGGAGAAGCCGACGATGGTCCGACACGAAACGATTTACTCGTGCTGCGAGGAGCCGTACGTGGATCTCATGGCCACCGTGACGCTGATGCGGAGGCCGTCGCTCTTCTACAAGGGGACGCTCTTCTTCCCGGTCATCGGTGAGGGGTCGTCGTCCTCATCATCGCGTTTAATTTAAAGAGGCCATGAAGACTAGCAAATAATGAGGTCGACAGGAACAGCATCGACACGAAACTTAATCGACGTCTGAACGATGACGTCTTTATGATAGGGAAAATTTCGATATGGAAGCACATAGACTCGAATGAAAAAAACTGTACATAGAGTAAGTTTGAAATTATAGGGGGGGAAAAATGTCGTCTCATTGTTTCGGGGTTCTGCTCGCGCAAATTGAGTAAAATATGTCAAAACTGAGAGAAATTGAGAGATATCTATTTGAAAGCACATACGCACTCCATCAAAACAGGAGATATTAATCATCCCAAAGAACGCATTAACCAAGTTAGCGAAAAAATCCACCATACATGAAAAAGAACAGTTCTGAAAGAATGGGAACATCACCTCTCAATGTGCATCGCAAAGAATGGCGGACATGTTCAACGTATTTTCTAATTGAAAGTGTGACGTTTTGCTGATAATTATTCGCTTACCGGTCACCGTGTAGTTAATTCCTTATCGGCCTTATTCATGTCGATGCCACCCCTCATCGGAATGAATCCAGGACGACTCTTGTGGAAGCGGTTTTGTGTTGCGTGTCGGTCCTTTTCTGTCGTAGTTATGTTGTGTCTCGAAGTAATACTCCTATCGGCGTCATTCCTAGGCTCATTACGGGACTGAGCTTGCTCAGCTTAGTATTTTCTTGCGTTTTGTACACGTGACATTACTTCTTTTTTGTTTTCCACAACAGGAACGGCATTACTGACCCTGTGTGCCTTGTGGTTGCCAGCAGGGTCAACTCATCGACTCATGTACTTCTTCCTGAACAGCATCCTCCTCTTGATTCTCCAGCTCTATCACTCCTCCTTCATCCCAATCACCAGCGAAAAAAGCATCAAGATCAGTGAGATGGAAATTCAAGCTCCTTTCGAAACGGTTTGCTTTCCCTGAACTCGATTTTTCCTTCCCACAGTGAATTGCATGAACGTCCTCCTGTGCCTTCAAGTTCTCGGCCTCCTCTGGTCCCTGGCGACCCTGCTCCTCGCCTGCTCCCACAACGGCTTCACTTCCAAACTGGTCCAGTGGGGTCGGGGCATCCTGGGTCGGATCTTCTGCCTCCCCGCAGAGACCCCCGAGAAGGTAGGAACCTCCGCTTAGTCTGTCGTGGGATGCACTCGAGTGATGACCCTCGATTCCATGGCAGCTGCTGGACGAGGAGGAACAGGGCCGGGTGTGGAAGGAGATCCTGGTCGAGCGGTTTTTGGACCGAATCGCCTTTTGCGTCTTTCTCTTTATCATTGTCTTCAATTTTTCACTCAATTGGCCTCGTCGTCAGCTGTGATCTGGTCGTTCGAGACCGAGGGGGAGACTGCCTTGTCCTCATTTCTCTCATTTCTTCAACCGTTTTTGTTCGAGACAGAGAAGAAATGACGATTTGAAGAGGTGGTAAACGTCGGTGATTGTTGATGCAATTTCTACCTGACGATAGGAAATGATCATGGAAATACAGAACTGAAGCTCCTTTTCGTCTCGATCTTCCTGGACGCGATAAAAATGATTTACCTATGATTCACGACTATCCTTTGCTTGCTCTTCGCCGGGATTTCGTCCTTGGCCTTTGACTTTTAAGAGCCCTGCCAGCGAAAACTACATTTCTAATAATTGTTCATTTACATTGGCGATAGATGGATTGAAACTAGGAACAAGATAGTGTCATTGTCTATGCACTGTTGACGTGGGGGCTTGACGTACAATATTCCTTGATTTTAGATATTTGTTGGTATCCAGAAGGGCATTGGCAATATTAGTTTTCCACTTCAAAGGCAAGCAGTCGCAATAAATTACGTAAATAAATTAATGAAGATGTAATAATGAATTAAATGAAGCAATGACAGGAGAAGCCAATTCGAGAGGCTCACGACCGGAGGCGTGATATATTATCAAATCTGAATTAAGTTTTAAGGGTTGGATTGTGATAGAGCGGAATTCGGCACAACATGGATTTTGTCACTGGGTTAGTGATTTTTGAGACACTACTCGAGAAAAAATTTCGTCCGAAGAATCCTGCTGAAAATGTTGAATCGTCCGTTGAATCCACTGCTTCAAATGCATTTTTTACAGTTTTTAATATTTGCGAAATGCCTAACCTTGTTTTAACTACGCTCATCGCGACACCTATTAATGAAGTCAATATACTCACTGACGAGCAAAAGTAATGAGAGTTACTTTTTCATACTTGATGCAAACCCGGCAACCACGCCTGCATTGCATACGAACATGAAATCCACCTGAACCTCCTCGCCACGGATGCGCACTTCAGCGCATATACCGACAATGTCTCGAAATAAAGATAGTTTGACGTACTATCTCTCTAATATTTTACTGTGATTACCCAAGCTGCTGGTAGAGGACATAGGAATCTATAGTTCTACAAGATTTCGTCTCACTTGAACCGATATTCGAATTTTTATCAATTTTTGAAACGTAATTGTTCTTGCACCGTAGCGCTTGACCATTGTTTCATCAGAGGGTAATGTGGCGGATATTTTGAATTGTTCATCAGGTCAGGTGACCCCATTTACATGATTTTTTAGATTAGTTCTGAAGTACGGCATAAGAGTTTCCAGGAAATATACAGGGTGTCCGTAAAGTGACTACCTATGGGCAATTTTTTTCATACTGAATCTGGGGGAACCAACTTTTTTATTTTTGTATGCTGTTTATCATTAGACTTCGGAATGGTATCACATCTTTTGTTTCTAAACTCTATTGTCGCTGAAAATTAATTTACCAAACCCTTGTTTTAATTACAAGTTCAGACATATGGAGCGTAGCATTCCGAATTGTCAGAATGGCCTCCACGATCTCCGGATTTTGACCCCTTGTGACTTTTTTTCTCTGGGACTACTTAAAAGGCATTGTTTACAAGGAGGAGCCCACAGGGATGAACATTTTGAAAGGGAATATCTCATGGATTCTCATGGATGGAGCCAACAATGGGCTCAGAAATGTCTGGAAATCGGCGGTCGACACCTTGAGCCAATTTGTCGAGTAAATTCCTAATGTTTATGATTTTGAATTCCCAAAACGCTCTAATATTCAATCAATACCATGACAACTGCAAGACTTTTTTGCAGTAGGGTCGAATGGCGAAATTTGCCTCGAGTCGTTGTCTAAAGTTCTTCTCCATTCAAATGGAAAAAAAAATGAGACACAAGATGTGGGAAATTAATTCTCGGCCGTGCCAAAGTGATAGGAGAAAAGATCTGACATTATTCCGAGGTCGGTACATTGTCAATCAACAAAAGTAAAAAAAAATGGCTACTTCAGGGTCTATAAAAAAAAAGTCGCCCATAGGTAGTCACTTCATGGACACCCTGTAGTTTATCGGGACTCTTTCCACAAATTTTCTGCGAAGAGCCAATAAATAAAATGCTTAATGTTGCCTCCAGGAGTGCCGTGGCAAGGTCAGTTAGAGGGTATCTAGGGTCATTATAACCTCAAAATTTGAAGGAGAATCGATAAAGCCGTGACCCATGGGGTAAAAACGCGCTGCGTTGCGTGGACAGTCCTGATACCAAAAGGGATTTTCCTTGCTCCTCTTGAAACGACGTCGATTTCGTATCTTTCTTGGTCAGGCAATATTTGAATGTTTAAAGAAAGCTGCAGAGAATTTGATTTTGAAGAAAAATCAACCGCCGTTTCCTAAGTCGGACTTCCTTCGACGAAGCATCTGACCTTTCCCGAACGCATTTCGACCGCCACTTTTCTTCATCCAGTGACGGAAAGAAATGGATTGGAAAAGTTTGGAAAAGATTGGAAAGGAATGTAAACGACAACTTCACGTCGGTTTATGGCTGGGGCATGTGCGGTTTCCCAACAACGAACCAAAGTTGGCGCGATGAAGGACCAATAGGACATGCCCGAAGATGAGCCCTCTTAAACCATAAGCCAAGCATTTGCCAGTGATGGCCCGACTAAGGCTTATATACGCGTCGACGAAAAGCCATCGATGGCCAGATGAATATATTTTGACTGGGAACGACGGAAAAAATTAATCGAAAATTCATAGGAAAATTTCACAGAATCGTGAAAATTTTCCTATCGGCTCCAGCCTCGACGATCGGGCGAAAAAAGTCGGAAGCAAACTCGTGCAATTATTGTTCATGGCAATTTCAGAGCAATCGTTGTGCCATCTCCCTATTGCAGATCACCCTTCCAATGAAGGCTAGCTTGAAACAGAAGGCCGCATTTGAAGTTGTTTGAAGTGATCCTTCAGAAATTAGAGCGTATTTGTGGAAGCGGCTTCGCCTTCACGTTCACCATTTCGTTTCACTTTTTTTTTTCTGAAAGAACTCATCCATTGCCGTAATACAGGGTGTTCAGAGTCGCACAGCCAATGAAATAGGATCTTATTTGTTATCTTTAAAAGTAGGACTGTCAATTCGATTGGATTAATCGAAAAATTGGGTTCAACCTATATTTCGCGCCCCACTTTCACCTTATTGTCAGATGGAAAATGCTATTTTCCGTGGCTAATATCCTCATTTAAAAAAGAGTCTGGCACCAAGAGTCCCCTAAGCAGCACGCTCAACTTCCCAAGGCCATCACTTCCGCGTCCGAACAGGACGACGAGCCACGCCTAAATCGGCTCTTGAGCCTGGGAAGGAAGCGGAAGAACGCATGAACCCCTTACTCA